GAAGAATAGACAATATTTAAAATAATTTTTAATATCTTAATTCAATACATTGAATGCTCTTTCTGTTTCCTCTGATAACTGACCATATCCTTGAATTTTACAGAAAGACTTTAATTTTTTCCTCTCAAAAGCTCTATTAAGCAAATGATATGGGAATAATAAAATAAATTCTGAATGTTTTCATTTGAGATCTCAAGTCAATCTACGCAACAATCCTCATGGACCTAAATTTCCTCTCCATTTTCATGTAAATACTCTACCACATTTTAACCACAATAAATACAAAAAAATGCTTCTTTTTTTGTACCCTGTCAAACTCTGAGATACCTCATAAACCCATTTTGGGGGGAGAACAATGATTTTCACTGTAGAAAATGCATTAAAAGTTATTCATTGGCAAAAACAGCAGCAGAAAATATTTTTGTCTGAGGGAGCATAATCTGCAAATGCAAACTCTAATTATCTCTTAGTCATTATATCTTCACCTGAAACATTACATTTGTCCAAACTGTAGTTATTTGAATGTAAAAAAATGAGACTCACCTGCCTTTTTTGTATACCTCATGTATTTCTTTTCCTTGTCGGTGGGCTCTGCATTCAGTGGATAAAACCCATCCCCACAACAGGAGGAAGATGCTAAAATGCATTTTATGGACAGTCAACATGTTACCTGAAGGTTCTGTATCCAGAAATAGTCCATACAAGAAGAAGAAACCCAAAATGTAGATCCTGTTCCTCTTTTTAAGACATTATCGGTCTGATCGTTATTGGAAGGATGTTTACTCATACAAAAAATCATCCTGCAGTATTTAATCTGGACAGTGGGGAAAGCAATTTCCACTAAACCTATAAATCCTTCTACGTCAGATGGCAGGGATTTTCTAGCAGTGTTGAATTCACGTATTCTCAGAGAACAATTATTTTTTGTCCAAACAGGCTATTTTATTAATTGGTTTAAATTGAACCCTTTTCAAGTACCTGTGGGATATGGCACACATATATTTCTACCTGGTTAATCAAAGTAGTGCAGCTGGTCAGGCAGGTGTCATTAGTCATTCTTTAATCACCAAACTTATCTGTGTAGCAGTGATTTTTGTTACAGGCATTGCAATAGATTGAAAAGTGTTAATAAACATGCATCAGTTTCCAGCAAAAACTTGTTTCCATTTAGATCTGCAAACAGTATTTTGATTCTGTGTGGTTTTCTACATTGCTTTACTATACGGTGATACTGTGGCTGGAGTGGTCAGTGCTTTCAGGACCTGTGCCACATACCTCACCGCTCTGCTGAGCAGGGTCTCTGGAAGGTATCCCAGTGTGCAGAGGAAGGGGAGGAGGACAGCATGGGGGAGACCTGCTTGGAGGGATCCTGCCAAAGCTGCAGGAGAGCTCGAGGGGATGGTGTGCTGGGTCTCATGTGGCTGACAAAATTGGTGCTAAAGAAAGTAAAATAACATGAGCAGAAATACGTGGTCGAGCCAGCCACATTGCCCATCTCTTTGGAGCTCACCCCCTCCCTGCATAACCGACAGCTCCGTGTTTACTCTCCTTCTCCTCTGTGCCTCCCCCCCCAAGGCTTTACGGCTCTGGCCCCACTTGTGCTTTATCATGAAGATATTGCCCCGTGCTCTGCAGACACCACCAGTATTGTCCCATCCCTTTGCTGACAAGGCTCTTCATCCTCTGCCTGTTACCCATGGATTTCTATTTTAGAGCAGTTTGTCCAGTCACCCATCTCTTGTCATGAAAGCCCTTTCTAAAAACCCTGGGGAGCAGATCTCTACCTGGCCTAAGCTGCCGTGGCTTGACTGACTTCAGTGAGCATTTACACTGCCTCGGGATCCACAAGAACAACACATCGAAAGCCACTGAAATTTCATTCCGTCAACCAAGATTCAATTCAATGATTTGCTGGGCTAAAACATTTCCTACACAGAGTCACACAGGCTTCAAGAGATAGGCAATCAGTCACCAGCAGTTTGTTGCAATGGTTAATCGCTGATGCTGTTCAAAGAAGTTGTACTCATCTTATCTTTGAATATTACCTGCATTCAGTTTCCACCGATTCACATATCCTTCTCAAGGAAGATAAAAAGTACCTTAACAACTGTTCTTTTCACCTGTGGTGATATTAGATATACTCTTCTCAGTCTTTGCAATAATCTAGAGTTTTATGACATCTTTCATCAAAGGAACTTTTTCTTCTATTTGAAATGCATTTTTGTTACTTCATACACAGTTTTAAAAAATGTTAGTCCCTTGTTTATGCACCAGAGGAGCAATGGGGATTGACAAGCAATGGATAACTATGATTTCACTTATCTGCCTTGGAAAAACTGGAGGTCCCCTGGTACATGAGAGGAGGGAAACATTCGTCTTCTCACTAACAGAAGGAATTTACTAAAAGAAGCTATAGAGAAGGCAAAAAAATGTGTTCAATTCCCCTTTTTTGCATTGTTGTTCATAGAAAAGTTCAAATTCGAGCAATTCAAAGAAAAATCTTAGAACAAATCGTCAGACAACCTCTAAACTCCCAGAAGAAATGACAGATGAGGGACAGACATGGACTCATCAAGACCAAACTTGCTGAACAAACTTAATTTCTTTCCCCAACAGGCCAACAGGCTTCATAGCTTGGGGAGAAGCAGTAGATTTAGATAAGCTTGCAACACCATCTCACATGACATTCTCATAACCAAGACAGGGAAGCATGATCTTGATGACATATCAGTAGGATTGATGCAAAACGCTGCTACTTTTAGCTTGGTTTATCTTGCTGTACTCCAAAGGCAGTTCAGCACAGGAAGGACATGGACCTGTTGGAGCGGGTCCAGAGGAGGGCCACAAAAATGATGAGAGGGCTGGAACACCTCTGCTGTGAGGAAAGGCTGAAAGAGCTGGGGTTGTTCAGCCTGGAGAAGAGAAGGCTGTGGGGAGACCTTATTGCAGCCTTTCAGTACTTAAAGGGGGCT